CTCCTGCACCCGCGCCAGCTCTAGGGACAGAGAGCATGGAAGTGTCACTGCCAACCCCACTCAGCCAGTGCCCTCTGGGACTCAGCCCTGGAACACTGATGGCCTGGCCCTACCTTGGGAGAAGTGGTCACGTTGGAGCCGCAGGGTCCGGTTGTCCTCACGCAGAGCCTGGTTCTCCCCACTCAGCTGCAGCCCTGGCTCCAGCCCCTGGGTGTAGACATCACTGGACAGTCCTGCAAAGGGGGGACTGGAGCTGAGTCTCTCTCCTGACACCTCACCACGCACGGGGCGAGTGCCCTCCCCATGCAAAGAGGTGTGCAAAGTCTGGGCCCCCCCGAGCCCCCCACAGCAGCCCTGGCCCCAGCGTGGCACCGTACCGCTGGCCTTGCCGGCGGAGGCCAGGCGGCGTTCAAGCTGCTCCCGGAGCCGGTCGTTGGTGCAGATGGACTCCTCGAGACGCTGGCGCAGGCTGCGGATCTCTACCAAGTGCTCTTCCAGCAGATCTGCCCCTGCCACAGCCAGGGACATGGGGGTGTCTTGGCTCAGGGCAGGGAAGTCTACGCCACCTGCCTCATACCATCCCCGCTATCCTGCCCCGTACCACAGCCATGACCCACAGCCATTCTGGTGCTAGGTCTCCTCCCTGTTCCCCCACACCCAGCCAGGATGCCCCCATGCTCTCCAGCATGGACCTTACCCGTTAGCTTCTGGCTGGAGGGGTACCCCGACGGCAGGGCCCCATAAAGTGGCTGGCCAGGAGCGGGTACATCCCAGAGGGTGCAGGTCTCAGCGGCCCTGGGGGGCTCAGCCAAACTCTGCAGCGCACCATGCCGGCAGAGCGATGCTGGGGCTTTGCTGTCCTCTCCAAAGGGGCCCAGTGAGGCTGTGGGCTTTGCTGGTGCCACAGGCAGCATCACACCTGTACACACAGGCAAAACAGGGAGGAGGAAGAGGGAAATGAGCAGGGAGGAAGAATGGAGGCAATACACTCCCACTGTGTGGTTTTTACCCCCTTCTCGCTCTGTTCAACAGTGCAGCCCAATGTCACCCCCCACAGTGATCCTCCATCATTGACTTCCTGCCCTGGTCAAACCTGTTCCCTCTGAAGAGTAGAGGCTGATAACGTGACACGAGCTAGAGGGTCTCAGCCTCAGCCCTACACAACAGCTAACCAAACCAGCCCTTTCCCACATGCACCTAGGACGTGCAAGCACCCACACCAAGAGCGAGTGCTGCCTCAGGCTGTGTCCATCCCACCCACCAAGTACTCTCTACGTGAGAGCCACATGTCCCCATCATCCCTCAGCCAGAGTAACGGGACCCAGCCTGGAACTGGTGGCCCCAGGGAGCAAGAGAAGGGCCAGGGCAGGATAGGCAGGTCAGAGGGGGCAGGGGGCCATGCGGCACAGTATGCAAGGCAGGCAGGACCAACCCCATGCTGGAGGCATTCGCTCACTTTCTCCCAGCTGCCTCCGGAGCACCTGCAGTTCCTGCTGCGCCTCAGCCAGGGAGCAGCCAGGGGCTTTGCAGCAGCCCAGGAGCGGGGTGGCAGTGGGAAGGGGTGGCCCAGCAGGCAGGAAGGGTGGCGGCCCGGAGGGCAGCGCAGGCAGCGGGGCACTGACGGGTTGGGACAAGGAATCAAATTGAAAGCCTAAAGACAGAAGAGAGATGGAGAGAGATGTTAGCGCAGCTCTGGCTCAGCCTAGCAGGGACCCCTCCTCCCCAGGGGCACTGGGGACCGTGGTATGCTCTGAGCAGCTGAGTCCCCATGTCCAGAGGTGCTGCAGGCTGGGTCACCCCACACGAGGCCACTCAGGTCCCAGCCTTGCAGGGCTGTGGTACCATGGCAGAGCTCCTCAAGACACTTCCCTGCAGCCCCAGGTGCTGCAGCCCCAGGTGCTGTGTGCTCACCCTGCCAGGCTGGCGTTTGGGCACAGAGCTCCACGCGCAGCCCCTGCCCAGGCCTGGTGGGCATCTCCTGCTGCAGGGACCCACGAGCTACAGAGGGGCTGCACATCCCCAGCCTGCGATCGTGGTCCCCGGGCCCCCCGCGATACCTGCGAGTCGGGCAGGCTCTTCACGGCACTGGCTGCACTCGCTGGCTACATCCCCGTCGGAGCAGGGCTCCAGCCCCTCGGACACGAAGGAAGTGCTGGTGGCAGAGCGGGATGACTCGGAGGGTGGGTGGCTGCTGCCTGGAGACTCACAGCGCTCCTGCAGCTTCGCCTCCAGGCTCTCAATCACCTTGTCCTTTTCCTGGAGCTCCCGACTGAGCCTGTGGAGGTGGCCCATCACTGGAGCTGGCAGGGCGGGGTGACCCTCATCCCACAACCTGTCCCTGCTGTGCTGTGCACACTCCAGCATGACACCCCAGATGCTGCATCCCACCCGTGCTGCAAGGCTGCCTAGAGTAATGGGGTGCCCAGCTCAAGCCTGGAGCTCCCCATCCCCAGAGGATAGGCAGCTACAGGGGATCCACGTGGAGCAGAGATCCTGAGGCCACCCCGGACCCTCAGCCCAAGAGCAGTGCGAGCCTATGGGGTGCCTGTGCAGAGCAGGTCCCCCATGTCCTCCCTGAGAACATGTACCTCAATGCCAGGAGTTCGTGGCTGGTTTTATCCTCCCCATCTTGTCGATCTCCTGAAAAAACAAGCCAGAGAGGAGCCAGTCAGTGTTCCCATGCCCCAGGCTGCCTGTCC